CTGTATATGGCTGAGATGTGATCTCTCAGTCTCCTGTTCCAGACATCTGCCACCATACCTGACCTCACGGACACTCTCTTTTTCTCTGGAACTGTAAGCTACAATAAATTCGTCCATAAGGCACTTTTGGTCATGATATTTTATTATAGCAACAAAAAGTAATTAAAACAGCATTGTTTTTTAATTTAGTAATTTTGCTATTTGACAATTTCATACAGGGTTATTTTGGAAGGCTCCACCTACCTCTTGCTCAGCTCAGAGCCTCTGATATAGAATGTTAGTGCTTTTCTCTGAGCTCTGGGTGTACATCTGGGCAATCCTGGCACGTTCTGAACTCCTACCACCATGAGGTTACAGAAGGCAGGTTCCCTGCATTTCAGGGCTCAGCTGAGAGCTGTAGTCATAGGCCCAGGAACAAGTTTGGGGTAGGAACTCCTGGATGTTACAGCCTCCCAAGTCATGCTCCCTTAGAGCAGGAAAGTGCCTAGAGGGGAAATGGCTCTCCAGCTCTCCAGCTCTTCAGCTCTTCAGACTTACCTCTCTTTGGTATTTTGCCCCCTCACGGGCCCAATTCTGTTTTTCTACTCCTATGAGAGTTTTACAATCTCTGGCTTCTGTCCTTCAGTTGTGACCTTTTGCCCAGGAAACGCCCACATGCTCAGGTCTAAGCATGCAAGTAGGATTCACAAATACTTTCCATTTCAAAGTAGCTGTCTGCCTCAGCTTACCTTTCTACAGTTTTTCATCCTTGCTCTTTTGACAATTATGTGAAGCTGTTTAATATGTATTTTACGTTTTTATTGGAATTTTGTAGTTATCATAAGGACTATATTCCTGCTATAAGCTACTTTCTTCTGCATAACCATAGAGATCCAAGTTACCATCATTTGAAAACTATCGACTTAGGATGGCTTTAGGCAGCCCTTGTTTTTCTTAGGATCTATAGAGCACAGAAATATTTTAACTTGAGCATAAATTCAAAGTAGTCAATTTAAAAAGAAAAAAATCATTGTAGATTGAAAATTCCAAATCTAAGGAAAAAGCCATCATAAATGAAAAGAGCAAGACTGAGTCAAAATATAGAATATATTAAAATATTTTCAATTGTACTAGCATGAAATGAAGGACATGATCCTATAAGACTTCATTAAAAGAACTCAAACTTACTCCTTTTTTAAAAAAAGATTTATTTACTTTTTAATTGTACATGTTTATATTTATGTGTGTGTGTGTGTGTGTGTGTGTGTGTGTGTGTGTGTGTGTGTTGATATGTGCACATGAGTGCAGCCTGTGGGAACTGAACTTGGGTCCTCCGCAGGAGCAGAAAGTACTCTTAACCACTCGGCCATTTCTCTAGCCACCTCTCTTAACTTAGATTATGAACTACCCATACAAACAGTAGTATTTGTCTTTATTTATTATATAATTGTTAGGCATGATTGACATTCATTGATCTCAAAGTCTGAGAGATTAAGAGGTTCAAGAGGCTGAGGCAGGAAGGTTGCGAATTCAAGGTCCGTTTGGACTACATACTGAGATCCTGTGTCAGAAAAGACAAAAAAACAACCAACAACAATAAAACCCCATTTCATTAATAATTGTAGTTTGAATACATGCAACATCTTGGGACTAAATATAGGAAATGTACTGCAAGATAACATAAAGGATCAGGCAGTTAGTCCTGAGGACCTGATCTTAATGAGTCCTGTGTGACTTCGGGGGATGGCAGGAGAAAGTTACCCCAGAGAGGCAGTGAGAATCCAGCTGCGGAAGTCTTCTGTTAGAGAACACTAAGGTTTCCTGTTTATTCCATCGGTCACTCTTCCTAGAGTGTTTGTTGTGAAGACATTTTATGGAAAGCAATGTGCTATGGTTTGGGTAAAGGTTCCTTAAAGGCCCATGCATTAAAGACTTGGTTGATAGCCTACGGCACTATAAGGAGGTGGTCAAACCTTTACAAGTGGGACAGTGGGAAGGAGAAAGTTAAGTCACTGGGGGTATGCCCTTGAAGGGGCTGTTGAAACTCTACCCGCTTCCTATTATGGAGTTTCACGTGCAGGTTGTCATGACTTGAACAGATTGCCCTGACATTTCCTCTCACTGTGCTGTCCTGTCCTGCTACAAGCCCCCAAACAAAGGGGCTGAATCTTCTGAGCCTGTGGACCAAAACCAAAATGAACCTTTTTTTTTTTCTTTTGAAGTTGATTATCTCAGGTATTTTGTTAAAGTAGTAGAAAGCTGACTAACACATAGACACATAGTGTAAAGAAAAACTCTGTAATGGTGGAATTTCTGTACTTTGTAGCTATAAATTTTCTTTAACCACACACACACACACACACACACACACACACACACACACTCACACTCAGCTCTGCTCTGCTCATGAACATTTGTTTGTGGTTATATACTGCAGTAGAGAATGGATTTGATTTGATGCTTTGTACAACACCCAATTTTCCTTCCCCGGGTGCAAAGAAATGAATTCATTGTCCTTGCTGCCCTTCCATTCCCTTTCTACCTACTTAATCAATGAAAACATTCTTGTTTCTTTTTCACCGGGAAAAGCTACCGTTTGAAGTGACTGGAACAGCTCTTGGCTTGAGGTCGGCATATGATTGTAATGTTGTCGCTCTGCAAAAAAGAATCACCAGCTTTTAAAGTTCTCGGAGGCTAGGAGTAAATGAGAGAACTAGAGAGTAAAGGGGATCTCAGCACGACTAAGGGCTGTTGCTGGATTTTAGCCTTTTTCCTTGTTACTAAATATCTAAAGCCCAAAGCTGCTTACAAGCGATCTCTCTGTACAGAATTCATATCAGTTGTTGCACAGAGTATCAAACACATCATTTCTATTGGTTTCATTAATGATTTTATGATAATTACTTTCTGGGAAAATTGAAGAAGAAAAATGGAGACAGATTCATTCTTACTGCAAGGAAAATAAAGACCTGACCTTCTCATCCCTAGAACAGGTTAGTCAGGTTACCTTCCAGCAAGGAGGAACAGGATGAATAATTTAAAATTTTGTGTGCTGACTTAAGCTCTAAGTACCTGATTTAAAACGGATCTTGTGGCAATTTCCTCCCAAACATTTAGTCATCAGTAGAACTGACAGAAAAAATCTGGGTGATTACTTTCTTAGAATTCATTAACATCCCTTTTCTCATTTAACAAACAATTTAATTGCCCAACTAATTGCCCAAGCAATTAAATAGCTTTACCAAAGTGGCTATTTTGTGATGGGTAGAGAGCTTAGGGAAAGAAGAGGTATCAGATTCTGGAGTTTCTACCTGCCTTCAGATTAGATGGATGTGTAAGTCTCCACTTCTTATACTAGCATTTTGTTGTTTCTTCATTTTATGTTAGCATATTACAATGGTTTTTCCATATGCTTTGGGTGACTCAAATTAATAGCACCTATTTTATTCAGAAGAATTCCCAAACGGTGTGCTCTTCTTTCTAAAAAATATTTAATTTTATTTATGTGCGTGCATGTGTATGTGTGTGTCTGTGTGTGTGCCTAAGTATACCACCTGCATACAGGTACCCCCAGAAGTCAGAAGAGGGCGTTAGATCCCCTGGAATTGGAGTTACAGGTGGCTATTAGCTGCCTGATATGGGTGCTGGGAATCTAACCCTGTTCTCTCTGAGAGCAGCAGTTCTCTTAACTGCTAAGCCATCTCTCCAGCCCTGATTTGATGCTTTCTTGGTTTACAGTTTAAAAAATGTAGGAAACACTCCATTGTGAAAATATCCCGTGCTGCCTTGTCATCTACTCAGCCACCCAGTTTTTAGATTCAATGTGTTATTTTCAAAACACATTTTGTGAATATTCAAGAGACTCAATTTTATGTGTTCTATGTGTTAATAAGCCCCTTATTTCTGTATTTGGTGTTAAAGACTGAGCTCAGCGGCTCACACAGTCTAAGCACACACATTTGCTGTCAGCTACAGCTCTTTCCCATTTTTGTCAGCAGCAGCTTTTACTGGGCTCATAAACACTTCTAAAATGTTAATAGCTCATGCCAAGAAATTTTTGTTCATGGATCTTCAGGTCACTCTGCTGGGTCCAGTGGGATCAGCTAGACTTGGGTGGGTTCAAGTCAAATCTGCTTCCTGCATGTCTCTTTTTGGGATCCCTGAGCCTTGGGTGGAGAGGGTATGCTACAGGTGTCCCATTTAGGACCCAGCATTACAATCTCTTGTTTCTGCATCTTAACCACCATCTCTGGTGAGAGTTGAGAGATGCACCAATCTATGGGTGTAACAAACAATAAGTCATTAGGAGTCAGTTGAATCCTATGTCTATTTAGTAGAATAATAGTTTTATTACTATTTTCCACCAAACTGAGAAAGACTCAAAATCTTGGTAATACAGTAAGTCAGCAAAAACATGATGATATGGGTTTTTTAATGTACCACTGGCGGGTATGTATATGAAATAAGGTCTATGGAGGGGAGTGCAACATCTACAAAAATTAAAGATCGGAATTTGGGTCTATCCAAAGGGAATTTCAAGGAATCCATTGTGTAGATAGAATTTTTGTATATGTTCAACAACGTACATATGAGCTCCTCAGTGCTACCAGAACAGCTTTACAGTGCATTTCTCTAGGAAGTGGGTACAACTACATGATGGTTAGTGTGGCTGTTAATGTGAAGGGATTATCTTGATTAGGTTAATTGAGATGGGACGATCCATCCTAAAGGACAGCATCACCATTCCTGAGACTGCCTGAAAGGAAGGAAGCCAGCAGAGGGAGAGCATCCATTGCTCTTTCCTTCCTGTGTGCAGTGTGACCAGCAGTCTCAAACTCCTGCCACCTTGGCTTCCCCACCATGATGGACTGTACCCTCAGACTGTGAGCCCTAATAAACCCCCCATTTAAGATGATTTTGTCAGGGTATTTAATCACAGCAACAGGAAAAGTAAGACAGATACCTTTTAATATTCTTAGGCCATTAGTAATTTTTTTAAACTAAGTATTCATATCCTGTGCTTGGCTGTTATCTCGTAGGATGTTAGTCCAGTTCTGTTCTTCTGCCACTCAGATGACATTTGGAAACAATGCTGTAAGGATGAGCATGTTTGGTAGATATCCTGCAATGCACTTCTGTACTTCTGATTTCCTCAAAAGGATCAGGTGTACTGGTGTTGTGGTATGGACCATTTCTGACTCAACCAACCAGACCCAACAATTAAATTAGCAAGAAAAATGTTGTCTCTCTTTCCTCAGAAGACAAACTACTGCCCATAGATTGTGAAATATCCCAAAATAAATTCCTTCAAAATACCTGGACAACTCATTCTTGGAAGAAAGTCATTTCATAAGATATACCAATTTATTCTTAATGTACATTTTTCTTTCTCTTTTTTCTATACTGTAGACTGAATCCATGCTAGGAAAGTGTTTAACCACTGAGTTTACATGCCTGGCTCCTTTTTATTTTATTTTGGGACAGTCTTGTTATATAGTTCAAAGTAACCCAAATCACGATCTTACTGCTCCAGCCTGTGTTACCAGTGTGAGCTTCTGTGCCCAGCAGAGTATTTTCTATCATCTTTTTAGATGCTTTATTTCCCTATTTTCTGTGAGGAGAATTTATAGAAATTTTTGTCTCTTCTTGTGTTGAAGCGTCTCATCTTATTTCACATGAGCTTACAACTATTTGTTTCACATTGTACAATTTCCAAGTATAATTTTAGGGATCTTGTTAACAATTGAAACAGAGTATTGCTATGTTGTCCAAACTGGCCTTGAACTTTTGTACTCAAGTGATCCATCCTCCCACCTCACCCTCCCTAGGGCTGGGACAATAAGCACTGGTGTGTGGATCTTAAATTCAGCTCAATCACATCCCTAGAAGAAAAGGGCTTAAGTAGATAGCTACACCTTGGTTTCCAGAAAGTCAAATGTACCATGGGGACACACAGTTGAGGAAAGATCTGGAAGACCATCTGGAATACTGATCCAGGGACAGTGGTCAGTGGTTTGGCTCTTGTCTCCATTATGCTAGGAATCAGATGATAAGGACAGGCCTTTGAGGGCTCTTGTTTCCAGTGTAAAGACCTCTAGTCCCTTTACCTACAGTGTCAGAAGAGTGTGCTTTCATTCCCTGGAAACTGCCTCTCAGTGCCAATGGGCATTAATCAATTGGAGATCACTAAAGGGCTCTGTGGACTACTAAATGGCTCTGACTGTTCTTGATAACACATTAGAGAAATGAATAAAGCAGTGGTATTATAGCATAATTAAATTCAACTCATGAGCAAGGTACAATGGCCATGCTTTTTAAGCAAGTTTCACCTAAGAGCTTGCTGCTGTCTCTTTGAATCTGCTCCTGGGAACAGACAGTGTTCTCCATCTGTCCAGGCTCTCTCACCTTGTTAAATCAGGTTGTCCTGAGTAGTGTCCCGTCGTTACTTTTGGTGATGGGCACAGCCTCACTAAATACTGACCTTGGGACACCTGGGGATAGAACAAAGAAAGAAAAATAAGAATATATTATGCATTTCCACCGTGGCTAAGCTTGGCATTTCCATTGAAGAATGATATGAATTGAACTTTGCTTGTATTTATTTAATTTATTTCTTCTAAGGAGGCAAAAGAACTACATAAATGTCATCGCTATCATCTGTGCATCACTAGTACCACCAAGAAGCTCTTTCCATTTTCTTTTCTTTCCTTTTCATTTTACTATTTTTGAAATATATTTTATTTTTCAACATATTTTTATTAAATTTTTGTACATGTCATTTAATCCATCTTTATCATCTTAATCCCTTACCCTATCTGCATGCTCCCTCCCCCCATAGACTACCCACAGGATTTCATGCAGTCTATCATATATGTCCCTCAGTGTGAGTTCATCCACTGGAGCCTGTTCAGCCTATCTAGCATCACTCCCTCACCCATGGTCAGCTGCCAGTAGTTCCTTGGCTAAGATTGAGGCCTCCTACCCATTTCCTCAGTTCTGCTCTGGGTTTTTGTCTGATTGAGTTTGCACGGCTCCTGTTGTTTTTGGATAGGATCTTACTATGTCTCTCAGGCTGGAATCAAACTTGACAACCTTGTGCTTTGGCCTTTAGAGTACTGGGACTGCAGGTGCTTGCCACCATACAAACCTATCAAAGGACCGTTGGATGATTGGTACTAGTCATTGGTGTTTGCTGCTTCTGGTTAACCATGCTCTCCAGCATTTTTGCTGTAGCATTTATAAACTTCAGGTATGACTGAAGCTAGTTTATCAAGAAAATCAGGAAAGAAAGCAAGTAAGCTCTGTGGAGGCCCTCTTCCATGTCACATAGCGTGCCAAGGAGCAAAGGCATTGTTTAATGTTTAGCATAGTCCTAATGAGGTAGGTTTTACTATATCTACTTTAAACAAGGACACAGGCAAGTTCGCAAAACTTTGAGCAGCTCTGGAAATGGGTTTTTGTCAGAAGAGGCAAAGCATGATTGATGTCTGTTGTAAGGTAGCTTTATCAAGAATGTCTGTGAACAGCATTTCTGGGCCAAGATAATCTTCACAAAAGAATCGGAGGTAGAATGCCCAGTAGGGGTGAGGCTCTGCTTCCTCTTCTATGAAGAGGATCAGTACAGTAGTTTTGAATGTTTCTATTTCTTTCCTTCCTTCCTTCCTTCCTTCCTTCCTTCCTTCCTTCCTTCCTTCCTTCCTTCCTTCCTCCCTCCCTCCCTCCTTCCCCTCTCCCTCTCACCTTCTATCTTTTTTGTTTGTAAATTTTGTGTGTATGAGAGTTATGCCTGTATGTGGGTAAGTGCACCCCTGTCGTGCAATGCCCGCAGAGGACAGAAGAGGCTGTTGGATCCCCTGGAACTGGAGTTACGGACAGTTGTTAGCTGCCATGTGGGTGCCGGGATTCAAATCCAGGTTTTTTGCAAGAAGAGTCAATGTTCTTAACTACTGAGCCATCTCTCCAGCCCTCCTTCTATCTTTTTTGGAAACAAGGTCTCTCTAAGTAGTCCAGACTGGCTTCAAACTCATGATCCTCCTCTTTAAACTTTCAAGCGATAGTACTATAGGTAGGTGTACACGATTATGCTAAAACTTAAATTCTATATTTTAAATATGTATGTGATGTATTTTATACACACTACATTTCTGTCACTAACCTGATTCTTTTTTTTTATGAAGTGCTAAGTACCAAATTCAGAGCTTTGTACCTGCTGGGTAAGCAAGTACTCTATCAACTAAGCCACATCCCTAACCACCTGATTTTTGTTGAGGAAAAATAGCTCTTCTCAAATTAGGCCATTGAGATTTGGGGGTTTGTCTATTACCACAGCACAGCTTTCCTGCCCTGAATGGTATATCTGTCTACTGAGAACATCCTACGTTCTTTCTCTCTCAGTGTCCTTCCTTACCCCTTACAAGGGTCATGGCCAACAATGCTGTGACAGAAGATAGATGAATAAGAAAAAAGCATGATAAATTATTTAAAGTTCTGTATGACCTGGCAAACTTTAGAATGAATACAGAAAGACCCAGGGAAAATTGTCCATTTTTATGCTTCCGTTAGATGGAGAATAGTTGCAGAGAATTGGGAGTAGCTAGGACGAGCAATCATGGATGTAATGGACTGAGGGAGGACTGGGGAAAAGCTGTGATCTTGCCTTCGTTACGCAGTCCTCCCTCTTCCTGCAGGAAATGGGGCCCTCTTTAGAACTTGACTCAGAGGATTTATGGCCAGCTCTTACACAGTGCAGTGTGTGTGTGTGTGTGTGTGTGTGTGTGTGTGTGTGTGTTAGAATAATATTTCTTTGCTTTCAGGAAAAGAGGTTCTGGTGTCTGTGAGTGGTCATGAGGAAGGGGAAGTCTAGTCTCTTCAGCTTATCTTAGGAGGTAAAGGGGCAGTAAAAAGAAAGGCAGGAAAATGTCAGAGAGACTTTACCCTTTGTGCGGGATAGCTTTAGCATCAACTTGACACACCTGGGTTGAAGGAACCTCAACTGGGGAATTACCTCCATTGGTCTAGCCTGTGGCCATGTCTGTGGGGCATCTTCTTGATTGTTGAGTGATGTGAGAGGGCCCAGCCCACTGTTGGTGGTACCACCCCTGGGCAGGTGGACCTATGCTGTATAAGAAAACAGGTTGAGTGGAGGCCAGAGGAGCAAGTCAGTAAGCAGCGATCCTCCATGGCCTGTGTTCCAGCTCCTGCCTCCAGGTTCCTGCCCTGAGTTTCTACCTTGGGATCCTTGATGAACTGTGACTTGGGAGATGTAAGTCAAATAAACCCTTTTGTTCCCAAGTTGGTATTGGTCAGAGTGTTTTTTTACAGCAATGGAGAAACAAACCAGAACACCCATCTGACGTCCTTTTTTCAAAGTCCTTAGCATGTTGCAGCATTGTACATTGGGGCATCCTCCTCCTGAGTATCAATAAATGTGTTTATTGATGTGTTAGGTTAAAGGATGTTTGATATTCAGTTATTTTTAGGCAACCTTTAGATTCTGGTATTGATATATTTACAAGTGGTATTTGATAAACACGACATTAAAAAAACTCATATTTTAAGCCAGGTGTGGCTTAAAGGTGTCCACACCTTTAGTTCCAGCACTCAGGAGGTAAAGGCAAGCAGATCTCTGTGATCTGTGAGATTGAGGCCAACCTGATCTATACAATGAGTTCCAGATCACCTGGACGTAAATAGAGACCCTGTCTCAACAAAAAGGAACTCACATTTGATCTATTTTTACTGTACGATTCCAGTGAGGCTGATTTATCCTGTGCTCATGTCTGGCTTTCATATAAGCTATTATCAGTTTTATTTACTGGCAGACTTTTCCTGTCTTCCTCTTCTATGGAAAGACTTCTATAAGAGAGAGGTATCCTACTCCTTGGGTTTTGAGCAAAGGGTGATTGCTAGAGCTTGGGCCTAGAATGTCCTTCAAAGGCCAGTATGCTAAAGGCTTCATTTCTGATTTAACACCACTGAGAGACGCTGCAAGTGAAAATAGGTGGAGACTCATGGGAAGTCTTCCGGTCATTGGGGTATACCTTTGAAGGGGATTGTGGTATTCTAGCTCCTTCTTCTCTGTCACTCTACGCCAGCAGACAAGCAGTTAAACACCACTGCACACTTCTATGACATGTTGTGTCACAAGCCTGAAAGCAAGACCCCAATTGACTGTGGACTGAAACCTCTAAAATATGAAGCTGAAAAGAATCTTTCCTTATTATATGTTCATGTCTTAGGTATTTTCCATGGCATTAGAAAGCTGACAGACACAAAAGTAGTGGGAGAGGTAGCATGGTTGGAGAGGTGATAGGATAAGAAGCCAGATGATTTAGGGTCTTGGTCGCCACAGAAGAAAGCCTGGATTTCATTCTAAAGCCTTTAAGAAACTATTCCATGATTCAAGTGACTGGGCAATGGTCTTGTGCATTTTAACACATGATGGTGTATACATGTAGTTGTGTGTGTACTTTTAGCACTTAAGAGGTGGAGGTACGAAGATAACAAGTTCCAGGCCAGACTGAGCTGCACAGTGAGACAGTGAGATGCTGATTTAAACAAAGCAAAGCAAAACAAAATAAAATCAAACCCAGAACCGAATAAAAAGTCCCAGAACTGGTATCTAGAGTAGACAACGAAAGTGAGATGACAGGGTTTGAGCTCATCTTGGGAATCTCCGAGCTACTTCAGTAGCTCTCCAAGTTTCTATTTTGGATCTGAATGATTCTCCACATACTTGGGCTGTGATCATTCAGAAACTTGTCAGGCACAATGTAGGAGCTTAATGAATACCGAGTGATTCAGACAGTAAGCTTCTATTTCTGGGGAAGGTGTTTTGGCATCATCAGGGACTCCTATGGGCCCCTTCCCGAACCTTCTCCACCTGTAGTGGCCAAGTTGTGTGGGGGGGGGGGATGTTGGTCCTTTCTCCTGAAAGGTTTCCTAACAATCTGATGTGAGCCAGGGCAAAACCACATCAGCCATGTTTAAGAGCTCATCCCATGCTTCTGTGAGGTGGAGAATTGGGTTTTCAGGATGGTTGCAAGTGTCACATACAAGTTCCAGAAAGGAGGGAAAGCTGGAAGCCAAGATACATCATCAGTCTGGAATGTCACTTCCTTCTCCAGGGAAGGTTTGTCAGTCAGGGGCAGCGTTCCTTCTGCTGAACCCTCATGTGCTCAGGTCTTCAACACATAGTACTTCTGATAACTGAGTAAAAATGAAAGGACACACATTTTTTCTTGTCAGTCAGACAGATATTGGATTTAGGAGCTATGGTGTTTGGGAGCTCAGGGACGCTTGTTTTCCAGCTCAACATGACCAGAAGAAGGGTGGCTCCAGAGACTAGGCCTACTGCCATGGTGTTTTGAATGAAAATGTCTCCCAAATGTTCATGTATTTGAACACTTGGCCCCAGTTGGTGCTGCTGCTTGTGGAGGTTTAGGAGGGGCAGTCTTGTTGGAGGAATCATGTCACTAGGGGTTGGCTTTGA